AATCCTCCTTTCCAAATAGGAAGGTGGAAAGTGTCACTTTTCTAAAGGCATTAAGGGTGTGTTCAGATGGCTGTTTAGATACGCATGAGGCATGGGTGCTTCATGGATTTAAATGTAATGTCTAGACATCAACATCTGGGAAATGTCCGTCTTCCGTGAGCATTCCGTTTTACCGCACTTTGGAGCCGTACTAAAAGATACTACTTTAAATCTAGAGTTTTCGGTTCTGACGGGCCACTCGCGGACTTTCCCCTATCTGATCATTCCAGTGCACAATTAAAAATGGCGCCCGTTCGGCACCATTTTAAAAAAATCTTGATTCTGCGCATGCGCGAATAGCCAAGGATGCAATATCATGCCTATGCACATGTGCAAACTTTTGTTTTTTAAAAAAAGCCACCGCACGCATGCCTCATTCACTGGATGCCATCTAGACAATCCACAGTGGAAGCAGCGCGCAGTAAGGCAATTCCCCCAGGGGATGTCTGGTCGTGCAAGGAAGGATTAAAAAGATTGGGATCAAATCTGAGCCAGCATAATGGGGGGGATTAGCTGTCTGTCTGAACGCACCCTGAGATTCTCACCTGCAGACTAGGGACAACGTAGGGTTACCAAACTCCAGGTGAGCCTCGGAGTTCTCCAGAAATTCCAACTAATCTCTGGAATACAGAATACAGAGATGTCACCTATAAAGATGAGGCAAGAGATCAGATCCCTTCCTCCTTCTATCCCTATGTTGCTACGCTCCGTTTGTTGTCAGCATCATGCCATGTTTGTTTTCTATAGTATGATTAACACATATCTTGGAATTTGATTAATCTTAGATTGCTCTGGAAATTTAGAAATATATTTACCTTCTACCAAGAGAAGAAATTTAGAAACATATTTACCTTCTATTAAAAGAGTACTCCTCTAAGTCCATTGACTTCAATGGATTTAGAAAGGTATACGTAAATCTTCTTAGAATAGCACATAATAGTGACATTTTCAGAAAACTTTCCTGGGAGTAAGCCTCACTGCTTAGAGTTGTTCTCTCATTTTCCTATGCAATCTAACATTAACCTGAATAATAGTGGTGTGTCAGTTAGGGTCACCAGGTCCCCTTGTCACTCTGGTGGGGGGATTTGGGGGGCATTCTGGGATGTCCCCAATGTGATGACATCACCCAGAAGTGACGCCATCATGTCGGGGATGTCACATGGGGATGCTGTGGTTTAAGGGCAATAGAGTTTTGTCCTTAAACCAGAGCGTACCTGTGAGACATCCCCAGCGTGATGACATCACTTCTGGGGGACACCATCACTTTGGGGGAAAGTCATGCAGGGACGTGGCGGTTTGGGGGCGGGGTTTCCCCACTAACCAGCTGGCCAGCTGTGGGGAGAAGCCCTGAAAACTGGGGGAACCTCCACCGTGACCTGGGGATTGGCAAGCCTAGTGTCAGCTCATATTATAGAAGGCAGGCATGACATACATGTGGCATCAAGGATAGGCATCAAATGTAGTGGTTGCCACTGTCACATTTAAATTGTAGGTCAGTTCAGGAGGATCAGATGTGTGTTGTTATCCAGCAGAAGACTACACCAGTACTGTCAGTTTGGTATGGGATTGTATGAACATCAGTTCCTTCTCTGTCTCCACCCAGTCTGCAAAGTAGACAATATCGATGAGGGAGAACCGAGGAAGGGGAACTGCTGCAGTCTTTGCCCAAGCTGCCCTGTGTCTGCCAGCTCGTGAACACAAAACCTTTGCCCCTACCTATTAGGGTTAGGAAGGAAATATTTTACGTGATCCCAAGATCCATGCTTTTATAGAACCAGGGAGGCCTACCAAACCCTCAGATGGTTTGTAGAAAACGGAAGTGCTGGCCATAGAAATGTCCATTGAGATTATCCTGTTTTGTGTGACGACTGACTGATTACTTGGGTTGGACAACATCCCTATCAGGCCTACAGTAGTAGGATCACTACTACCCCCCCACCTCCTGCTGCTATGCATATGAAATAGCTAGGCATCAGAACAGTCAGAATGAATAGTTTCCAACCACTCCTGAATGTTGGAAATAATTGGGTTTGGATTTAGATCCTTTATTTATTAATGGGTGTGTATGTGATTTGATTAGTAAAGTTCCAACTACACACACCTACCAAAAAGGATGTAGACTGGGCTCTCAGTCATTAGATAGAGAGACACATTCCTTCTTTATAGCCTGTCTGTTCCATTTATTTTCAGGAACTTTCTTTCCCCATTCCTATTTCAATCTGTGGCTAAAATAAAACTAAGTGAGCACAGAATAAAGCTACCCCTCTCCCCTACCATGCATCAGGCAGAACCCATCACTGGGCAAATGAAAAAGATGTGCAGCTTGACATGGTAGCTCCTGGGGCCCCTGCCTTTGATGTGGTGGCTCCTGGACTCCCTGCCAGCTGCTGGGGGCCCTGCTGGCTGCAGGTGGTGGCTCTCAGGGCACGGGCAGCCCCAGAAGCTCAAGAGCAGGTCAAGATAAGGCGGTGACGGGGAAGAAAGAGAGAGTGAGATTTGAAAGAGAGAAGGGGAGGGAGATAAAGGGGGGAAGACTGAAAGAAAAAGGGGAAAGGGAGATTTTCAGAGAAGGGGTGGGGGAAGAAAGAGAGGGGAAGACTGACAGAGAAGGGGAGAAAGAGAAGGAGAAGATTGTTAGAGAAGGGGAGAAAAGGAAGGAAAAAAAGGTGGGGAGAAGGGAAGCACCCCTCACCATAAGCTTCTTTCTGAGTCCCCACTTGTATATTCTGATAGCCAAATCAACCAGATCTGAGGATGCTTGAATCCAATGATTGGAGCCATGGATGTACAAGACACATCATCCTACAACCCTGAAAATCACCCCAAGTTTGCAGAAAAATCTGAAATCTACACTGGGTAGGGTTGCCAAATTTTAAAAACGCACCGGCGGGGGAGCGTCCTCCTGGTCCGGGAGTCGTCGTAAGATGTGCGTGCGCACGAAGCGCGCGCGCGCCGCCAGAGCGTCACCGGAAGTGACGTCACACGCTGGGCGGGGCCACGCCATTTGAGGGGAAAACAAAGAGTTTTCCCCTCAAATGGCGTGGCCCCGCCCCCAGCGTGCGACGTCACTTCCGGGTGACGCGCACGCCGGGGCGGAGTTCCCCCCGGGCCCCGATTCCCCGGGTAACGGGCCTCCGGGGCGGGGGGAATTCCGCCCTACCGGGGGGGTTGGCAACCCTAACACTGGGGTGGGGTTAAAACCCAAAATGATAAAAAAAGCACCAGCAGCTTTAAGAAATGGAAGCCTTCACAGGCTGTTGCTAGGCAATTACAGCATTCTGTGCTTGGTTTCTGTCAGTAGAAGGCAGAAGGAGAGTGCAGGACTGTTTCTGGGGACATTTTGGCCTTTGAGATCTGGGCCAGGACTGGCAGCAACCCCTGGGTGACTTGATACTACCAGACTCACATGACTCAGTTAGGTCTGACTGCTTTCTACTGTACAACAACAGCCACTCTATGAAAGCCAGTGTGGTGTAGTGGCTAGAGCTTCAGAATAGTGTCCAGGAGACCCAGGTTCAAATCACCAGTCTGCTATGGAAGTTCATAAGATGAAGTTGTGCCAGGCACAATACGTTCAGCCTGACCTATTTCACACTTTAATGTGATGATAAAAAGCAGGAGAGGAGAATGATGTAAGCTACTTTTATCCCCATTATGGAGAAAGACGGGGTATAAATGAAGTAAATAAATAATAAATATAGCTGTAGACTGGAGGGAGATAAAAGGTAGCTTGGTGAATGGCTGAGAAGGAGAATGAGGTAGGAAAAGGGGAAATGATATGGGGGTTGACGGGAGGAGGGAAAGGGGACATAATATGTGGAGGGGGACACAGGGGAAAGTGGTGCACCCTCCGCAAGACCTTGAGTGTTCCTTATTATGCAAGTGGGCCAGGCCTAGCAGCCAGCCCCACACAACTGTGCCATAATTTTCCTAAGCAGAGGCTGGGGGGGGGGGGGAAGCTGAAGACAGAGGGGGCAAATAAAGGTAGGTTGGCTGTTGGGTGGGAAGGTGAGAAGAAAGCAGGGAAAGGGGAGAGGCTGCAGGGGCTTTCAGGAAAGTGAAAGAGGGAATAGTGGAGGAGGTGGAAATGAGACCCCTCCCTGAAAGTCCCTGAAAGTCTGTTTATTGTAACAGAGTCTGGCATAGAGCAGCATAACTGGCTTGAGAATCTAGCATTGTAGCCTCTCGTGTAAGTCTTATTTGCATGGCAAAAACCCAAGGGACAGTTTTCCTCTCTCCAAACTTAAGTTAATCATTAAAACAAGGTGCTTTTCATTTATACAACCAACTAATATTTTTTAAATTATGGCAAAAAATGTCATGAAAAGGTTTAAAGCACATTTCAAAATGTATTTGGTCAGGCAGTGAGTAAAGTGTCCAGTAGGTGGCTGGCATTCTCCAGCTAAAGCCAACACTTTCCTATAACTAACAACAGCCTTCGCTTAAGGAAGCTTGCTGTTGTGAGAAGCAGGGAGAGAGCAGACGTCCCAAAGATACTGCCTCTAGGATATGTGTGCTTAAAAGAGCGGCTTTTTACTTTTGCTGAAAACGGAGCTTATTCCAAGTACAGGAGCTGAAAATTGGAACGAAACTGGAAAAGGGCAGCACCTCCTAAAAGTTCGTACAGAATGTAATCCACTTGTTTCATCCCTGAAATCACCAGCGTGTCAAACTTGATACTGGACTATGGACTCCATCTCTCAATCTGATAGATCATCTCTGCAAAGTGGGGGCGTCCTTATTCCCAGGCCTAATAAATAGGCAAGAGACCTAAGTTTTGGAACTGAACTAACACTGAAGCTTTCTTGTGTGAATGGGCGGGATTTATTTTGTATGTGGCACTTATATCAGACATTCCACTTCTGTTGATCACCTCCAAGGAGGAACAAAATCGATTTAAGGGAATTGGTGTGGGCATTTTAAATCAAGCTGTCATTATCCCTTCACACCAACGTCTGGCAATGGCTTCTGAGGAATGCATTTTTCTAGATGTGGAATTGGATGACTTCATTCTTTGTAACGGCTCTGCTGTTCAACATGCGAACCTCTCCTTCTTGAATGAAGACTTATTTTACTATAGATTCTTGTATGCAATTCCAACGATTTATGGGATCATCATTTTGATAGGGCTTGTTGGCAACATAACACTGATAAAAATCTTCTGTACAGTGAAGTCCATGAGAAATGTCCCTAACTTGTTCATTTCCAGTTTGGCCATTGGTGACTTGCTTCTCTTGCTCACCTGCGTTCCTGTGGATGCCAGCAGATACCTGTCTCCTGAGTGGCTGTTTGGTCGGGTTGGATGCAAACTGATCCCTTTCATCCAGCTCACTTCAGTGGGGGTGTCAGTCTTCACACTCATGGCTCTGTCTGCAGACAGGTAAGCATCCCTTGAGCTACAGTGTAGTTTTTTTATAGACCCAGAACATGGAATATGATGGAAAGTAGTTGTTTCTAAATACTTAGTGTTCCTCCAGTGCTTCATTGTTCTGAAAGATTTACAGAGAAGGATAAAGCTATTTCTCTGGGACTGCTTAAAATCAATATCTAAAGCTGTATGTGTGCTATTACACTTGCTAAAATTTTCACCATCAGTGAGATTTATGTACTTACTTTAACTTTCTAATGTTCTTCATTTTGTTAAAAAAAATCCAGTTAAAATAACATTTAACAATTTATTTGACTTCTAGAAATTAAAAGTAGTCAAGAGAGCCAGAACATTATTCAGGCACTAAATAGATCCATTTAAATGGCTTGACAATAGGATCTAAAAATATTAATTCCTTTGGAAGCAGTGAGATTTCATTCCAGTCAAAACTGATGAAAATCTCATATAAACTTCTGCAGCATTTATAAAGAATTGAAGATATAGTTAACAGTTCATTAATTTATCATTCTCATAACTTCTTTCCTTCAAATATACCTGATGAAAGATTTCAGGTAGCTACACGTGATTTATGCAAGAAAAAAATAACAATTCTGAAAACAACTGTAAGCTTCAGTACCTGGCAAAAGCTACCGGTATTTAAAAACATTCTGAACACAGGGGATGAACATAAGATATCAGATTTTATGTGTTTTCCTTGTTTTGCAAAATCCAGAATCTGTGTATGCCATTTGTACAGAGGGTTTACACATTTCTCCTGCAAATACTTGGTGCCTCTCTAGGAAAAAAGCAAGCAAACTACTGAACTTTATGAATGCTGGATTTGCACAAACAGCAGTTCTATAGTTAACAAGCCCCTTGGACAACAAGAAAAGTAATGGATTGGTATGCAATGGAATAATTAGAAAATATTAGCTATTAATCATCTCACTAAATTTCATTCTAGAAAAGAAAAAGGAAAGCCCACAATTTTGCATCATTCCTTTATATATGGCTGATTTCTTTGCCCTGAATGCTAATAACATTTGTTCAATAAACACTTGTCATTATAAAACTGGGTTCTCTTTAAAACTTTTTTTAAAAATGTGTCCTTCCTAGTATATGTATGTGAGTGCCGTCAAGCTGCAAACAACTTATGGTGACCCCAGCAAGGTGCTTTCAAAGCAAGTGAGAAGAAGAGATGGTTTGCCCCATTGCCTTCCTCTGCAGACCTTTCCTCTGTTGTCTCCCATTCAAGTACCAGTGCTTTGTATTAGCATACCATAATGTTCTGTAAACTAGAGTTCATTGTCCAGAACAAATGAGATTAAGAAATGGATAGGTTATTAGCTATGATATTTATTTATTTATTAATCAGACTTATACCCCGCCCTCCCCCGTAGGGCTCAGGGTGGCTAACAAGGCAAGAAATCTTGCAACAATAAAACATAATTCATATTGTTAAAACAATTATACAATTTAAAACCAATCCCATTACAGATTTAAATTTAAAGTGCTCATTGATCTTCATTTCCAAAACCCCCAAAGATGACGGGCCAAGTCCAGAGGTTCCCCATAGTCGTTCAGTGGTTTCAACATTTATTCAGATGTTCAAGAATTCAGATGTTTTCTTCCTAGGGCCTCTTCCACCCCCCATGATGACAATATAACAGGGGGGAGCGAGGGGCGGCTGCCCCTACTCGAAAGCCTGGTGGAAGAGCTCCGTCTTGCAGGCCCTGTGGAACTGCATCAGGTCCCGCAGGGCCCGGATCTCCTCCGGGAGCTCGTTCCACATGCTAGTAAAAAAAAACCCCAAAACCTGAGCAGTTTGTGAACAAGCACCTGTACTAAAATGTTGGGACATGGTGGAAAAAAAGGTAGCCATAACTAGTTCCCAGAAACTGCTAATTTTGACCTCCAGCCCCAGATGAGTGCCAAAGTTACTTGCAAAAGTCAGATAATCACCAGTGTTGCAGTTTCTTGGATGGGGAGCAAAACTGACTCAAAACATACAGACTCTTTAGGAACAAAAGAAAGAACCACCATGCCATGGATATGATTCAGTGTCTGCTTAGCTTAGCGTTGGCCAAGCTGATGCCTCAGAAAAAATCACAAACAAAGCATGATGGTAATATCTCTCATGGCTGGATTCCAACATCTGTAGTCGTAACATGCAGGTTGTGCTTGGCTAAAGCTAATATCATTAGCTGAAGATACTCTCTGCACTTACCATTAAAAAATATATGTCTGGTCACCAGCATCACATCTTTATGCAATAAATTCTGTAAATTGATTATGTGCCATCCAAAGAAACACTCGGCCACTCTACAGATTATACAGAATGAAGTGATAGGATGCCAGGCTGCACCAGTTCAGACTGGACCTTTGAATATACATATTAATCTGCCTGCACGTAACAAGACTGTACACCAGGAAAGAGGCTACATAAGACTACTTTCCCTTACTCACTCTTTCCACACTACTCATATTATACTGCTGTCATTTATAACTCCAGTCTTCTTTTTGTTAACCCAAGACATCTCAGGTTCTGAATCTTTTCACCATAAGGTAGATGAATACTAATATAGATTTGACTAGGGAGACCCAGGATTAGGATCTCCCCATAGGTTTTTTAAGGCTAAAAAGTATCCATGGAAGAGTCAAGACTCATGTGGCTCTAAGGGAGAATGGAGATTAATCTTTTCCTCTGTAACATTAAATTGCATCCACTTCTGAGTGAAACTTAGCCAAACGAGAGAAAACATATAGGAATTTCTACAGAACCTATACAGTTCTAAGCTGCTCCAGGAGAATAACTGGGAGCAGGAAAAAAAAAGTGGGAAGGGTTAACTCCCTCCAGAGCTGTACCTGTAACCCAGAGTGCCCACAGTGCTGCACTTACAGAGCCATCCTGAGCCACACCCGCACCTCCGTGTCCACCTGCCGCATGACTAGGGCGGCGCTAGTCTATTCTCTAAGGGCATAATTTATGCAGCAGCTGGCAGACAAAGTCCGTGCATTTGCAGTGTTTTCTGTTCGTAACCTGGGTAGTGTCTATAGCAACTGTGCTGTGGCAGTCAGTGGAGGCAGTGGCACTAGGATGGACAGGGCTGCCAGAACCAATCAGTGGCCATGTGGCATGAGCGTGGAATCTAGCATCCATCTCAGGCAGGGAGCAGAGAGGGGCAGACCACAGGAGCTGTAGGAGTTGCGCTCGTTTCCAGGAGCACACCCTCCACTTGCTTAAAGGGGCCAACGCCTGTCAGCAGATCTGGCCACCTGATAGTGGGGAAAGGGTTTGAGCTGTCTGTGGCTGAAGGCACTACCACACTGCCCTTGCCAGTGGTGGAGCAGGAGAGGGGGCCACTTGGGTGGCCTCAAATGTAGGGGCATGCAGCACCACCCTCAGATTCCTCCAATTCCCTCCTCAATGGAGCAGAGGTGGTCTGGGACTGGAATGACTGCCATTCCTCTCTCAGCACTGCCGTTCGTGTTCCAGGTTCCAGAGCAATAAGTGCCCAGAGGATATCAGTCCAAATTCATTCTGCATTCATCATGTAGTGATATAGTTGTGATGTATTGCGATGGAAACCATGCAAGTCATGTATCATTCCTGCATGCCAGTATGTCCAATGGGCCCACCCCCTCCAAAAACATTGAGTCTGCCTGCTGTATTGGCTCACCACCACCACTGACTCCAGGGACCCCCATGGTCCCCCACTCTCATAGTGTCACCTTCAGAGATGTCTTCCCCCTGGGTGACAGAAGCCCATTCACGGAGCAGAGAGACAGTAATGAATCCCATTCATGCACTTAATGCATTGGCGACCTTTCTCCCCCAAGTGGCTTACATCATTCCCCTCTCCTCCATTTCACGCTTACAACAACCCTGTGAAGTTGGTTAGGCTAAGGGTGCGCATCTGGCTTAAGGCTACCCACCTAGCTTCCATGGAGCAAGTGGGGAAGGGAATCTGGATCTCCCAGGTATAGTCTCATGCTCCAAGCACCGCACCAAGCTGGCTGAAGCCCTCAGAGGGAGTGATAAATGGGCTGGGGGGGTAGTGGGGCAGGGAAGGGTTTGGAGGCCATGTCATGTAGTCTAAACCAAACAGACAGAGACACAGTTGTGGCACAACTCAGACTTTATTGAACGGCAAGCCATGGCAAGGTGTGAACAGGGCTTCCTCTCTGGGACCACGGGAAAGAGGACTGAGGATCCCCTGCATGACATGCATCTATGGGGGGTGGCATTGCAGGTGGAACTTGGAAGGCTACTCCAAGATGAGGGCTGGAGCCTCAGAGTGAGCGGGGGGGGGTATGGGGGGAGGTGGAACTTGCCAGACCCACATGTCTCCCTTTTGAATCTCCAGCTGTGGGAAAATAAACCAGAGATATGTTCAGCCATGGTGAGCAGACATGAATACCATGCTGGGCTCAGCCCTGGATATGGTGGCCTGCAAGGGTCTCCAAATGCAGCCGGGGGGGGGGCGTGCCACGAACCCCCCTAGAGGCACATGATGGTGCCATCCAAATTACACTCACTTGTCCTGTGTAGAAGTGCTCCCAGATGGCTGGCGACCCATCCACAGCAGCACCTGCAGTTGCTGCTCGAGGCTGTGATTCTGCAAGGTAATAAGTTACAGGGTCACATGGCTAGCTGGTTCACCACGTACAGTGGAGCAGCTGCCAGACCTCACCATCACTACAAACACACCCTGTCCTCTGCCGAGGGCGGGAAACAGGCATATGACAGAGCAATCCCCCCCCCCGGATCTCTCAGAAAACTTTCCTGGGATCTTTTCCCATGGCATGTCAGGGGCCATGGTGTTGCGAGGCCATGGCTTCTGCTGCCCCTGCATGAACTGAGTGTGTGCAGGAGGCACTGTCGTGGCACCTAGCCACAAGCGAGGGGAGGGGGGAGCCAGCTCATGAATCTTGCCCCTGCTTACCTGTCAGTGCATGGTTGCCCCTGAAGCTTGAGCTTTCAAAGGCAGGGTACGTGTTCAGGCTCTGAA